CTATTCTCTCCTTTTCGAAAGGAATAGTTTCTTTCCTCTTTCTCCCTGTAGTTGGAGTACAAGTTCGTTCAAAGAGTTACAGCCTCTTTCCTAATTTCTAATTATTTATATATATACGCGAAATATAAATTTCTCTGTCCCTCTTTCATGCCGCATTAACCAAAACCAATGTTTAACAGTGCGTCGCAGAAACAATAGTTCCCAGATTCGTATCACAAGTGCTTCCGTACCTACCATTAATTAATAACACTCTCGCCAGAAGAAAATATTTCAAGTAAAGGAAAGTATAAAGTATCGTTTAAATAATAATACATTAATTTATTAAAACTTAAAAGAAAGAAAGAAAGAAAGAAAAAAAAAAAAGAAATGCTGACAATTCAGTTTTTCCTCTCCGTGACACTCATACTTGCAACCCTCTTAAATTATCAAATCTATCGTATAGCAAGAAACACGTTTTCCTTCTTTTTTTTTTTTCTCTCTTCTTTCAAAGAAAGAACGGAAAAGATCGTCGCGTACGCGTGATCACGCATTCAGAGCCGAAAGAGAGGAGATGGATCGCGCGCACCAATTACATCATTTAAATCATCCTCTCGAAGAAAAAGAAACAATGACGAAGACGATCGTGAAAAGTTGTCGAATTGTTTTATCCACGTCAGAGGAGAGAGAGAGAGAGAAAGAAAAAAAAAAGAAGAAACGAAAAACAAAAAAACAGCGTATCTCGACTTCTTAGGCCCTCGTGCGTCCTCGCGCGAACATCGACAGCGAGATGTTCTTCTTTCTCTTCTTCTTTTGTACATTATCCTTAAAAACAATGTCTATACTTAATTTCTCGAAGGTACGATATACATAGTAAAGTTCCGTTAGCCACACTTTCATCGTGCAATTTCAGTGGTTCGACATTCTATCTTCACTCAACGCCGGGTCGTTCCTTCGCACCAGTCGCGGCGCGGCCAACGTTTTGCGAACGAAGTTTGAAAAAGTCGTGGAAACAGTTGAAAATCGTAGAAAAACGATGAACACGATGGTAGAAAATGGCCAGATCGCGCCGGGTACGAAGGTGGGACGACCCCTTCAGAGTACGTCCCTCTCATTTCCTTCTCATTTCCTTCTCATTGCAACTCCGCATTTCTCTGTTTTTTTTTTTTTTGTATTTTTTTTTGTTTTTTTGTTTTTTTGTTTTTTTCATTTTGTCTCTTAGAAATCGTCGTCCTTAGATAATTTCCACGTGTATAACCTACGCAACATCGCTATTAGTAATAGTATATACACACAGTACAATTACGGATTAGCGTTCACATTTATCATACCAGATAGACAATATTTAATAACATGATTTTTGTATCTTCGTTCGTGTTTACTCGCTGCTAACAATTCCTACGGTACTTCCCTAGCTGCTAGAAACGATAACTAAAAAAAAAAAAAAAAAAAA